GCTGTGCTGATATGTGTGTTTCTAGAGGGTGGGGTACTTCACCCATAAAAATAACCCAGCATATCCCAATATGGGTGTCACACAGGTATTGGGAGGTGTTTTTCAGGTGTCTCCAGTAAAAAACAACAAAGTGTCTGTTTCTCAAAATGTGTGACTGTCCACCCATGTGACATGGGATCAAAAGGGGTGAAAATGGGTAAATTGTTTGCAGGGTTAGCTTATCTGTCCAATTTTTTTCACACAGATATGGCATAAAAGCTTAAATTTTCTGCTATTAAAAATTTCCTTCTAGTTTGAGAGTGCATCTAAAAATTAAGCAATAAACTTGTCAGCAAACATCAAAGACATACAGTATGTGAATCTTTCCAAAAAGTTCATGATTTTTCAAGTAATCTATCTTTGGAATTTATCTGCTGTACATTGTATACCCCAATCAAACATACAGCTGATGCCTAAAACTTCATACCAAAGAATATCACATAGTAAAAAAGATTTAATTTTTCAAAAAACTGGAAAAATTGAGTGATTAAAGTGGAGGCATGACGTATGCATACTCAATTGCCAATCTGTTGCCTCATTTCAAAACCAGGCCCTGTTTTGAAAAATTGCGAGGAATTTACAGCAGCTATACTTATCTATCTCTTTTTTTATAAATTCTATTCTTCCTGGTCCAATTTTTCTTCATGAATACACATTAATATTCATGCACATGAATGTGATGAGCCAATTGTCCCATTTTTTACAAAGCTATTGCAATGAAAACATTGCTACATTTTTAATTTTTGCTTCGGTGATACTGTACTCATCTTTTCTCTGTGTCACCACAATAACCTACCACCCTTTCCTTGAACCACCAAATCCAACTGCTGGTGCACATGCAAATACAGGCCATTTAATGATGTTAGTCTGTAAACTCTGTAACTCAGAATGTCTTAGTGGATAAACTTTTTCCGGCAACAAAATGAAGCATCATGCTGCTCAAATACTGTATCTCATTCCAACATTTCTTCAAATGAAACTCACGACGTCATTCCGAGTATGTTATATACGCGGTGAATGACGGACGCATTTCAGTTATTTTCCTTGGTAGATAGTTCCCCGTACGTCTTGCTCTTACACATGTGTTGGCGAGTCAATGATCAATAAGTTTCAAGACTCGGACAACGTCCCACTCATTCTTGCGCAGTAATTCCCGAGCTTCATCATAGTCCATATTTCGTTGTTGAGCCACTAAACGAGCAGCTCTGTCTCGCAATTTGACATTCGTCGCCTGCAGACTAACCATCAGGTTGGACTCCACGCGTCCACCAAGCACCATGGCGCCAGTGCTGAGAACGTTCAAACACACCTGAAAAGCAGCGACATCTGTTTCACCTCCCGAGCAAAAGAATAAGTTATCCGTGCACCGCGCGGTTGCAGAGGTATAGAACAGTTAGCGGATTTATTTCTGATGAACATGGGAAGCTGCTGTATTCGTTCTTATTACGTACCTTTGTTGCTGTTCCTGCTTTGAGTCTGGTAGAGCCCGTGAGGATCTCTGGACCAGTGTCCAAGTCTATGTCCACGTCGCAGGGAAAGTCGGTTCTATCTCGAGCTGGATTGCATGTGATGAATACGGTGACGCATCCCAATGTGTGTGCCTCCCGCAGTGCGCCAATGACAAATGGGGTGCGACCGCTAGCGCCGATTCCGCAAACTACGTCAGATGAAGATACACCTCTTGCCCGCAAGGCTGCAGCACCTGCTTCTGCACTGTCTTCTGCGTCTTCCACGCTTCGGTGCAAGGCCTATTGTGAATAGAACGAGCGTAGTTGCGTTTTGCAAAGCTGCTAGACCTTTTTCTGAGTTTCATTGCAATGAAAGTACAGTAATTCTGATAACCATGAAAAATATTCAACAGCATCGGTAAATCGTGCAAAGACAAGCGTAATCGCACATGGTTCATAAGCCTGTTTGAGCCGTTTGAGATCGCGTTCGCTCATACAGCAGTTGAGTCATACTGAAATCATCATTTTGCGCGGTTTTTCATCCTCACCCTCAAACCACCGGCGATAATTCCTTGGAAAGTGTTCGGGCTTTCGCCGAAAGTCGGCGGGATTTCACTTGCATCAAGGACACCCAGCCTGCCACTCGTTCCTGCACCAACATAAAACATGCGTCCACCTGCATTTATGCGTGCAGAAATAAGTTCCAATGCCCTCGCGATCGCCGGCGTGGATTTCTCAAGCGCTTGTTGCACATAGGCCTCTTCACGAACAAACGTTTGAACGATCTCTAGGGGAGACATCTTGTCGAGATGCAAGGACC